ACACGCACACGCACTCGCACACACAGCTGACACACAAACACGCACGCTGCCACACGCACGCACGCCCACACACACAACACGCACTCGCACACACAGTGACACACTCACACGCACACGCACACGCGCACGCGCACACACGCACACACAAACACGCACGCTCGGACACGCACGCACGCACGCCCACACACACAACACGCACTCGCACACACAGTGACACACTCACACGCACACGCACGCGCACACACGCACACACAAACACGCACGCTCGGACACGCACGCACGCACGCACACACACAGACGCACGCACACGCACACACAGTGACACACTCACACGCACACACGCACACACGCACACACACACACGCAGTTATAAAATAGTAGCTATCCCTGTCACGAAATGATCAGAACAAATAGTGGAGAATTTCGACGAACTCCAGTGCGTACCATTTACATTTACTCATTTACTCATTTACATTTAAGTGGCAGTCAGCCACTTATGACTTATCACGCCTCTCTGGACTCTTATGTCATTTTGGCAGCTCAAAAAATATCTTTTCTCATCTGTGCAATATATATGATTGTGACAACCTACTAACCTACACAAGTTTTCGGCATATATACAAGAAAATTAATATGCTTTAGGTTTGCAAATCAGGTATTGCGTGTGTAAGCTCACGGAGACAGGCTGTTGTTTTCACCGGCACAGCTGGTTGCTAGGTTAAGAAAGTCCCGGATGTGGCAAAGTTCCCGTATGTCCGCCCTAACCTATTGCTAGCTAGCTGCGCTGGAGCTCTAGCTGTGTGCGCGCGTGCACCGTTTCGGATCCGAAGCGAAACTGCAAGCGTTCGAAAGTTCGTGTGCGAAAGTATACGACGTGCAGTTACATATTTTGGAACAGTCCATTTTCATAAGGGGGTAATTTGTGCACATAAAAAAATTCTTTTTATCGATTTTTTGAGAAAATTTATTTTATTTTTATTTTATGCCTTGTGAAAGAGCGATTTAAAGGTAATTTTAGGCTTAAACAATTTAATGATATTAGCTTACGCGCGATACATCACCCCCCCCCATCATCCCCCTTCATCACCCCCCATAATAATAGTTTTTTTATCGGGCCACCAGGTTTCATTTTCGGGCCACCAAAAATTGAAAATCAATTATTTTGGTGGCCCGAACGGGCCACTGAAAAAAAAAGTTAGTGTCGAGCCTTGGGTTAGGGTTAGGGTTTTTGCATCATATCTGTCCCCACACCATAGATTAATTTTTGTGGATCACAATGCCTATATATAGCGCTGCGAGATATATATATTTAGTTGTAGAGTTAGTGTTGGAGGTCTTGTAGTTAGAGTTACCGTTAGGGTTAATGTTTTGAACGTCATCGTCAACGTTATCACGTGACCTCCCTCCACGCCCGGGGGATAGCAACACCCGTAGTGATGCCATGTGCCCGAACGCATTACGCTGCAAGTGCTAAAGGATTTTCGCCATCTAATGCGTCAACATTGGTTTAGTTTAATTTATTTATTATTTTCCGATAAGAAATACAAAGGACTCTGGGTTTTATCAGCTTTCTTTTTAATTTACATCGCTTCAAATTATTCACATGTTTTCACATGGCTCAAAAATCAATCCACTGCACAGCGATATCTATTCATGATATCAAATATGCAACAATTCTTCATTAGGCCGCCATTATGTTTGACGTCATTTTAAACGCATGACTTCAACTGGCTATAGTTGCATTCCGAGAGATAAGAAGCACCGCTATTCCTTGAGGAGGTAGCCGGGTATCTACGATCACATTTCGACCGTTGCGGAATCCCTACAATGTTCGATACGAGACGTGCGCGCTCTAGCGGTGAGAAACCGAGGCTAGTCGGACGCGCGTATGTGCACGAGGTGCACAGCTTTGTGCGTACGTGTGTGTGTATGTGCGTATATGAAGGTATATACGAGCGCTTACCAACTGCCATTAGGATCGTCAGGGTTGATCTGCTTTGATCCCTATATATATACGTCCCTCTACGGGCTGCCAGACAGGCATTGATAAACTGATAAGTTCTCTCTACTATTATTATTATCTATGTGCCATATTACATGTCAAGTGCGGTCGTACAGTCGGTACATATAGCCTCTGTTACTAGCATAATAGAACCACATACCCACGTACGCACCCGCACACACAAACACGCGCACGCACGCACGCGCACAGCTTTATATGAATAAATATCGATGATATTTCTACGCGCCAAATGGTTAATCATTATAAGGACAGCGTGAACAGCGCGTTAGCATTTTAACACCCTATATAGATTGATTCATATTATGGTAATGTATTTGACCACAAATGTATTGAAGTTATCTGGCCAGCCATGTGATTTCTAAGGTTATTCCAGTATAGCCTTCTTATTACATTACGAATTATGATAATCTGATAAATTGCGCTGAATATGAAGATTTAACTTTAAGGCAAAGCACTTCGCGACACACTTGGAAAGGACCGAAACAAAAACTAGCCGATTTACATCCAAACTATTCAGGCCACGCAATAATACATTCTTTTTCGGTCGAAGAGTGTATATTTTGCTCATGGGTATCGCCATTCGTCGTACAAAGGCTGCCTGCGTGCTGATTAATGGTGCACGTTTTACACGCGAATTCGACATTGTATACGGCTTCCATGTTCGTTCTTTAGTTCACACCAATCCAATTTGCCAGTGGCGGTTACGTGCAACCATGCATGCCTGCAAATAACTGACGCTACGTGCATGCGGATATGTTCTCGTAACCCGGTACGCGTGATTTTCACTGAATAATTTAGTACAACAGGTATAAGGCCTGATGAACTTCATATATTATATCTGTTCATCATGTACATTCGAACACAATATGCGAGTCTAATACACGCACGTAGATGTTCGACATTTACGCACGTAGTTGTTCGACATGCCAGCTAGCAGCTCTTATGTGTATCGAATCTCTCTTCAGCTCAGCTCTGCTCAGTGGTCGTGTGTGTACATGGGCTCATCGTTCATGGCTGTCTGTTGCATGGGTAATGCCGAGACGCGATACGTATGTGAGAGTAATCGCCGATGCATTTCGGTGGAAATATCCGTGCGTCGTAGTCAGTCTTCGAGAATTCAAAAAAGGTCTTGTTGGACCTATACTCAGCATGCATGGGATAGAGTGTAAGAGAGAGTGATGATAGCTCCTGTGACGTTAACCTGTTACGTCCAGAGTATATTTATCATGGCTGATCGAATTTAAAGATCCTTCTCTTTACTCTGAAATATGCTCGATCCGCCCAAGGTTTCTAAATGATGAATATTTTACGTTAGACTAGTTGTTTAGGGTAACAAAGAAAGCGCACACTGATATACATATCATGAGTCCATTGCATTACATCTCAAAGCTACAACATAGAAATGGAATCCTACGCTATTAGTCATAGACAGTACATACCGATGTGTGACTTTTTTTTCATTTTCCTCTTTCGTGTGCAAAAACCTCTGTCTACCCATTTTATTTTAGACTTATTTTAATGTGGGCGTGTTTGCCCGTGAGAATGCATGTGCTCGTCGAGTTCTTATGCGTTTGCGGGCGCATTGGGTGCGGGTGTATATGCGTATGTGTGTGCACGCCCGTGCGTGCGTGTTGAGAATATATTTACTGGTTATTGAGTTAGTAGCTTTAGGTATAGCATACGTAGAAGCGTATGCTCTGATGGCACATTCTGGTGACAATCGAGCGGGGTCGTTGTCGCGAGTTCGAGTAGCTTCGTACTAAACCACGTATTGACTGTTACACGCACGTAACGTCACAAGTCACTGGATAAAATTCTTCGCGTACGAAACGCGCAGCAATACAAGGTCTGTCACCAATGATCGACTAACCGGCCCGCCGACCGACCGACCGACCGACCGACCGACCAATTGACCAACTGACCAACTAACCGGCCGGCCGACCGACCGAGCGACGGACCGACCAATTGATCAACTGACCGACTGACCAAACAACCGGTAAATCAGTACCCGAAGTTGGGTTCGTCTGCTGTGGATCATTAATTTAGCGTTATTTTTTTAAAGTGAGTTCATATGCGTATTTTTGTTCGGTAATAATTATATAATATAGTGGGACAGGAAAAGTGCAAACATGAGGAGAATCGTTCAAATTGTCATGCACCAATTGCACATTGCATTGCAGTATAACACAAGCACCAAAATTGACACATAATATATCCACAATGAGGTGCTTATTCATAAAAACACGTTATGCACAAAAATCCAAAATGGCCGCAATTTTCCAAGAAGGCCGCCATTTCTGGTAGGATATTTCATAAATCTTTATATAACATTATAATATCAAGAGCTAATAATACCTATCAAAGAGCTAAAATCAACCTAAAATCAAGAGACCTAAATCAAAAGACCTAAATCAAAAGACCTAAAATCAAGAGCTAATAATAAGGTATTATTAGCTCTTGATAATATGTTAATCAATCCTTCTGCATTGACTCTCCTGAAGATGCTGTTCCACCTTCTATTTTCCAGTTTGTCGGCATGGTTGAGCATAGAGCCGATATCAAGTCACAGTTCAGATTTGGGGCATCCAAGACAGACAACAGCAATTGCACAACTGCTATGCCAGGCTCAAAGAAGGTGGGGTCACTCAGAGACGTTCAAAGGATCGGGAGACGCCATTTCCCATCTACATGGGCTTGTCGTTCTGCGCAAAAACCAGGAAGAGGAAGCTTGTAGAGATGCTCCATGAGAATGAGATAAGTATATCCTATGACAGGGTGCTGGAGATCTCCGCAGAGCTGGGAGATGCAGTTGTGGCTAAGTACACTGGAAATGGAGTTGCCTGTCTACCACAACTGCGGAGAGGTCTATTCACTTCTGCTGCCATGGATAATATAGACAACAATCCCACTTCAACTACATCTTTTTATGGAACTAGCATTTCCCTTCCAACGCCCAGCTTCAGAGAGTGAAGGAGAAATGCGGGACCCACTAAAACTCAGAAGCAGCAAGGTGAAGACAATCCCTGAGCTGCCAGACTCCTACACAAACATTCGACCTGCATACTTCACACAGAAGAATCCATCTCCAGCGCAAGTCTCTGGCTTGTCGTTACCAGACACAGACATGTTGAGACACCAGCTGGATCTGGAGAACGGATGGCTGGAGAAAGTGTGCAGCACAGAGAAGTACATAAATCTGTGAGTTTGACATGGGCAGCCCACCAAGGATGCAGACAAGTTGCGCAACGCTGGACAAGTGCCCGTGATCACTGCAGATCAACTGATCTATGCCGTAGCCAAGCAAATCCAGTGGCAGTGGCCTGAACGCTATGGTGAAGATCTCTTGTCATGTTTGGAGGTTTGCACATAGAGATGACTTCGCTGCTTTCAATTGCTTCCATTCTACAGGATAGCGGGGGATATATATATATATATATATATATATATATATAATTATATACAGTGTATATTTACTATGTGCAGCCATATCATGTCTAGGACCTGCGATACTAGCCATCAGAAAAACTTCATTATAGCCATATTCGACACGTGTATAGCCGCATGATTATATTTGAGCACATTGTATGACACAGCACTGTATAGGCACCTGCTTTTGATGTAGTGTATTTAGATACGAAAACTTTTGCACTAGTCTCCCATTGAAGGATTTTCGCATCCTGTGGGCCAGTTCAACAAAACTGACGACGACGACCACGACTCTGATCTTTATGCCATCGCCAGATGTCTTCGTGCTTGGAGAGAGCAACTCGGTTTAATGTTGGCTCTATTTCCATTGCCTCCGTGTTGCTGGATGCAGATATGTTCTCGGGAGACTACGCTCGCATAGATTCACTAACAGTATGGGGACTTCGCGTCTTCTGCGACATATATAGGAGACACCATCCTCCCGGTAGTTTCTTTCGCTTGATACGCGTATCTTTTGCAAGAACCTGAACAACAGTAGACGAAGCACGTGGGAGGATGTCTGATCTCTCTTACCGAATGTGCTTGATTTAGTGTGCGTGTGTGTGTGTGTGTGTGTGTGTGTGTGTGTTGTTGTGTGTGTGTGTGTGTGTGTGTGTGTGTGTGTGTGTGTGTGTG